TGTGCGTTATAAAATGGGTGAAAGACATATTAATCCATATAGATGAAAGTGTAAATTATTTGTTTCATTATCGATCTCCTATATTATTGTTTTCTATTTCTAATGTGAAATAGAACGGCTCGCAGCTCAAAAATGTCAGACTCTATCTATAGAAAATGTCAAAGACACGCAACTTGTTTATAGATGTCATTCATATTCATATTGCCAAACTTTTTGAAACAACATAACTAATTATTATTAAATATTATATAAACACAAAGAGCCAATCCCAATCAAGCTAAGGTCCAAATTGCTTGGAGCAACATACATTACTGAGTCTGAAAATCCAAAGATCATATTTATATATCATATCATTGTAGACTAAGTACAAAAATAACGGTACATATATACATAAGAAACATACATAGATATACCGTTTTAGTCAATACCAAACTTTGTTGAAAAGGTACTTTCCTAACTTATCATTTAGGAAGTACACCGATTAATTATTGCAAACCCTTATAATTAATTGGACGGCAAAGAAATAACAAACCACGGCATCTTCCAGCTTCCTAACTCCTAATTTGCGTACTAAATATGTTACATGTCATTAGTCATTACACACACGTTTGAGAAGTACCTTATCTATATGATTGTGGGAGTACTAACGTAAACCCTATAACAAGAAAAACTAGTAAATGGGGTAACGTCTAATTACTAGTTCACTAATTCCATCACACTCATGCAATGATTTAGTTTGTTGACCGGAAAAAAAACAACAATAACTTGTTTAGTGAGATGTATTAATGATAGTTCTTATGTCATAATACAACTATGCTCATCACCAAAAGTATAATAAATGATTTCAACTGGAAGTCTCAGATGATGGGCCGACCATGTAGTTACGTTTCTTGAATGGTGAGAGGTGATATTTATTATTCTGGTAAACAGTATTTTACTTAATAAATTTTTTTCCTTTTGACATCTTCTGTAATCAATGTTGGTAGATGAAGTAATTGTAAATATGATGGCCAACCATATGGATCATGGATCTCTATGTTTGCGTGTCTATATATATACATAGTAACCTCAACAACAAAGTAGAAAACAAACAAAACAAACAAACCTCGACTCCAAAGGCTTTACGTGACCAAATACAAACTATTGTCTTGTGTTTCTCCAAAGTTGGGTTACTACGACGTCTTACTTCAATGGAATCAAATTGTGTTCAGTTTCTTGAGAACAAGACCATTCTCATCACTGGAGCTCCTGGTTTTCTTGCCAAAGGTACATAATTTTTACTTTAAGATCGATCTTGTAGTTACTATTTCACATTAGATACTAACGAGCTATACGATTTACTATCATACATATGTTTCATATTATTATCTTCAATCCTAGTTGTTATAGTACTTATGGTATTTTTCTTCATCCCTGTGGAATTGGTTCTGATTGGCATCAATATAAACATTTTGTATTTTTGTTGATCTTATATATAATCCAAAGATATTTTATTAATTATGTTTTCCTCGTCTTAACTGATAAGTACATGGGAGTAATATCTAGTGATAAGTTTTGGAAAATTTTCTGATGAATTATGAATATTGACTGTTTATTTAATTTATTGCCACACTCAATAGATTTTTTATGGCCCATACATGAAACATATATCTTCAACACATTCAATGAGTTCTATATAGATTTTCTTTCAGAAAAATTAATACTTGTCATATGATGGTATTTGTTGCGATGGTGATATATGCTTCATATACTCTGCCTTTCCAAAATATATTAAATTTAATACTTTGTATTTGCATTTTATATATTTCATTATATCAAAATATCACACATATAAAGAACATTTACTACTAACTGTTCAAATTCATTTTTTATGTTTTCAAGTCATTTTATATGCATTAAATTTTCCACCTAAACATTTTCATATAATAAAAAACCAACAGTAATTCAATTTATTCGAATATCATCTACTATTTGATTTCTAGCTTACATCTTTTTTGTTTACCTTGATTAATACTATAAAGTATAAAAAAGAAAAAAAAAAATTGAACATTCAATATAAGTATTGTGTTCTTGTTTTTATAGTTCTGGTAGAGAAAATCTTGAGGTTGCAACCAAATGTGAAGAAGATGTACCTTCTCTTAAGAGCTCACGATACTAAATCAGCCATGCAACGCATACATAGTGAGGTATAATATAAATTTTGGTTCCTTAAACCAAAACAATCTATACATAAACCTAGAGGCCATCGATCCACTAAACTAGCTAAATATATATATATATTTCCCTAATGATACAACAGGTTTTGGAGATAGACCTCTTCAGGGTGTTGAGAAATGATTTAGGTGAAGAAAATTTGAATGCCTTGGTGCGAGAAAAAATCGTGCCGGTTCCAGGTGATATATCCATCGATAATTTAGGAGTGAAAGACTCTGATCTCATACAACGTATGTGGAGTGAGATTGATACCATTATCAACATCGCAGCCACGACAAATTTCGATGAAAGGTATACTATACTACCTAAACCAAATGGTTAGATATGTTATATATTCCTTTGTATAATGAAATACTGAAATATTTTAACTCTTTTTTGATATTCCAAAAGATATGATGTTGGTCTTGGCATCAACACGTTTGGAGCCCTTAATGTTCTCAACTTTGCCAAAAAGTGTGTTAAAGGGCAATTGCTTCTCCATGTCTCCACCGGTGAGTTCTAATGTTCTATCTTACAAATTAAAGTGACCATATTATTTATGTACCGATTACTTATAAATGTATTCGTTTAGCATACGTTTGCGGAGAAAAACAGGGATTATTACCGGAGAAACCATTCAAGATGGGAGAGACTCTCAGCGGAGATCGGAAACTAGACATCAATTTGGAACTCGAACTAATGAAACAGAAATTGAAAGAGCTTCAAGATTGTTCTGATGAAGAGATCTCTCAAACAATGAAAGATTTTGGAATGGGAAGGTTTGCAGCCTAGTCACACCCTATATGTTCTTAGACTAATTTAATTCAATCATACCGTTAATTCTTGAATCAACATTGGTCTTATTAATGTAGGGCAAAGCTTCATGGATGGCCAAATACATATGTATTCACTAAAGCAATGGGAGAGATGCTAATGGGATACTATAAAGAAAATTTGCCACTTGTTATCATCCGTCCAACAATGATAACTAGTACTATTGCTGAACCATTCCCCGGTTGGATCGAAGGGTTGAAGTGAGTATTGGTTTATATCCTTGTTATATCTAATTCTATCCCATGCTCAATCTTCATCTTTAATTAAAAAATTTCTTATCGTATATGCAGAACATTAGATAGTGTGATTGTTGCTTATGGTAAAGGAAGGCTTAAATGTTTTCTTGCCGATTCAAACTCAGTCTTTGACCTTGTAAGTCTCCGTCAACATCTTTGTATCACAAGTCAATACTTAAATCAATTTATAGCATATTATAAAAAAAAAATATAGCATATTAAAATAACACGTTACTTGCATGTTTAACTTAATTACATGCAATTTCCTTAACAAGCTGTTGTTGATGGGGGAAAATTATAATATCATTTGCAGATACCGGCAGACATGGTAGTAAATGCGATGGTTGCAGCTGCGACAGCTCATTCCGGAGATCCTGGGATCCAGGCAATATACCATGTTGGTTCTTCTTGTAAGAATCCAGTAACTTTTGGACAGCTTCACGATTTCACGGCTCGTTACTTCTCTAAAAGTCCTCTAGTTGGTCGCAACGGCTCACCAATCATAGTGACCAAAGGAACCATTTTGTCTACTATGAGTCAATTCAGCCTCTACATGACCCTTCGTTACAAGCTTCCTCTACAGGTACTGTAACATCAATTCTATGATTTGTTCCCAAGAAAAGGCTAAGACTAATATTAACATATAAGATGGTGAAAGTAACATCTATGAACTATTGTTTCGTTTCAGATACTTCGATTGATCAGTATAATATACCCATGGAGCCACGGAGATAACTACAATGACCTCAGCCGCAAAATTAAGCTAGCTATGCGACTAGTTGAGCTTTACCGGCCTTACTTACTCTTCAAGGGCATGTACGTATCAAACATACACTTTCACAAAAATTTAAGATTATTTAAATCATGACATTATATTTATACATTCTTGTTTTGTGCAGATTTGATGATTTAAATACCGAAAGACTGCGAATGAAAAGAAAGGAGAATATGACCAAAGAGTTCGATGGATCGTTCGAGTTCAATCCCAAGTCCATTGATTGGGACGATTATATCACAAACACTCACATCCCTGGCCTCATCACTTATGTGCTTAAACAATAAAAATTGTGGTAGTAATAATTATATTATATGTTTGATAATACGAGTAATATCGTATTTGGAACTATTGTATGAGTGTGAATCTCGTGTGTAATATCATTATATATATCCACATTGTATTTTAAAGAAACAATTATATGTCACTGTAATCGAATTCTACTCTGTTTTCATTCAAATATTAATTACATAAAAAAGATGTAATCATAATTTTTTAATACAATTTGTGTTGGATCTCTAAGGATACCACCATTTTGGTGTTGAAACTATACTATTTTAGTTTAGTTTGAGCTCCAAACATATCTTTCTTCTCCAACCACAACAACAAATATCATATTAAACAAAGTATTATCATTGACTTGGGGTGGTACTGACATGTTTTCTTGGTCAACTTGCTACAAATATACTTTGTTATATTTCAGTCAAGGTTACCATTTATTTCTACTACGAATACTCTATAAAATTACAGATGGATCTAGTTAAATGTCAATGTCATTGAGGCTATATCATAGCCTTGTCGGTTGTATTTAGTTCGACAGGGACTTAACACAAGTGGTGGCTCAACAGCAAATTCGGATGTGTCTAGGTACTAGGTACTGTTTCTTATTATGTTCAACTTGTTGGACCACTGCAACAAGATTAATATACTCACCACTTGAGCCAGAAACGCTTTTAGAGATATATATATGATAAAATACCATAATATTATTATGTAAGTATCTAAGAGAGACTATTTACACAACAATTCCACGTTTTTGTATCGTTTCTGTTGAAGGTCCATGCCTCCACGGCTCACTTTTGAAAAAATAAGTCAGAGCTTCTCATACAATAAATGGTTGTTGAGTCTTTTTGGGTCCTCTTGTCCTTCTCGGGTTAGCGCTGATCATGCAAGAGAACGCGTTTCTCAAATCCGAATCCTCTTCACTAATGAGGAACTTTGCTGCAGCTGGATTAGCTAAGAGGAGCTTGGCCACTAGGTAACCCGCAATGGACCAAGTCTGGTATAGACGTGCCTGTTTACCGATGAATCTTGCTCTTTTGGTATCGTAGTACTCGGGCCATTTGTCTTGAGCAATCCGTCTCTCGGCTAACTCAACCGCCTTTTCTGCAATCTCTGGTCTACCCATTTTGATGCTAGCTACTGTCAGCTGAAAAAAAAAACAAGATGGGATCCGGATTTCAAATTAACATATAATGTGGCTTTGGAATTCTCATTGATAAACAAACCAACTATCTCAATATGTAACAAAGTCAGTTCTAGTTCAGTATACAATTCTCAAAACCAAAATGAAACTGGAAAACAGAAAAAAAAAACCCTAATGCCAGTTTATGAGGTCTACATATAGGGAAAGAGAAAACTCTGAACTAACCTGCCATAACAAAGTTGGCCATGCACCTCCATTGTGATAAGACCAAGGACTGCAACAATATTAAGCTGCTTAAGAAGATAATTTGGAAGGTGGAAAAACTGTACTCAAAGCTTTAAACATCTATCGAAGATCATATGGGAGAGAGATATTACGTGTTCTTTGGATCACTTCCGGTTATAATTCGCCATTCTTCACCTTCCATGGCAGGGTAACAAATCTTGAACGGCATGTCTGCTACAAGTTCTGCCCATTTGGCTTCAATGAAATCAAGAATTGCATGTGACTGCTCATTTGAAGCCAAACTGCCCACTATAGACCAAAGGTTCCCCAGAGAAAAGAATCTGAAATCCATGTGAGCGGGTTGAAGGTTTCCTATCAGATATCCTCCTCTGTTGGGCATAAAGTCCACTAACCATGAAGGGATCTGATCTGGATATATGTTGAATTTATTAACCGCGTCGTAAGAGTATTCTTCTGTCTGGTAACGGTATATTTCATTGATTTTCTTCAGGTCCAACCAGTAGTATTCCCTGATGTGGAAATTTAAAGCAACAAGACGATTGTTGAGAGCTCGGATTAGATCAGCTGAGCCATCCTCTGGTGTAAGCATCTCACGTGCACATACCAAAGCTGAATAAAAGAGTGCCTGGGAAAGTATAAAAATAAATTAAACGGTTTTGTAACTGCATAGACAGCTTCTGGTGCTAATTCAAATTGAAGGAACTGCTCACCTGAATCTCCAGGGGATGACCATGGATTCCCATTCGACGATCTATCATACAAGACCCATCAGTGACTAATAAAGTAGGGAACATATCAAAACCATCAGCAAGACATAGCTTTAAGATCATCTTAATTCCAGTCTGCACATCAACTCTCTCCTGCACGGAAAGATCACCCGTGCATTTTCCATATGCTCTCAACAATATAATCCACCACAAGCCTGGAATTCCAAAACAAATGCAAAAGTGAGTCAAGTTATCTTAAAGAGAACAAATTCAGAAATCCTTTCTCACACAGGGTTCTGAAGCTTCTCTTACCAGAATCAACAGGGGCAACACGTCCAATAGCTGCCTCCCCAAAATCAGGATCTAACACTTCTTCAGTCATTGAATCATCACCATCAAGAGGAACAGTTTTCACCTTGAAACTAGCAGGCATCAAACCTTGACCTGGGCTATGGCAATCCATGGTTTTCTCCCAACTCTGGTGAGAAATAAACATTATGTCAGCTCATAACAAAACCAATTAACTGCAACATAACAATCTTCACTGAACTCAGTTTAACAGAGAGAAAAAAAACACTACAGGTGCAGATAACAACCAATTCTTCTTAAATACAAAAACAATTGACAATATCATTCTTCCATATGTACTAATCATATTGAGTATCTATAGCTATTTCCGAAAGCATTCAACCAAGTAGCAGTTCAACTGGTTTTAAAACTAAATTAGGGGGAAAAAAAAAGATTCTCTCACCTGTAATTGGAGGGTGTAAAGGATGAAATTGCGAACAATATCATACTCTCCTTTAAGAAGAAAGGCAATCCCTGAGGGTATGAAATCACGAATGAAGACCTGATCATAATTCAGAACACTAGTAGAGTTGGGGTCATTAGCAGCAATAGTTCCAATAGGACTACCACAATAGAAAACAACAGACTGCCTCAATAGATCCCATGCTTCATCCTCGATAGATTTTGTTCCAGCTGACTGTGCATTACCATTAGATGAAACACTTCCATTAACAGGTAGAGGCTTTTCATCCAAGTCGCTTTTCAATTCACTGCTCAAACCGTCAGAAGGAAGTAACGTGGACCTGATGCTCTCCTCAACATCATGCTTTTGGCATTTACATATATTGGAAACCAATTTTTTACCTCTCAGAGCACAGTTTGAGCCATGAAATGAATCTCCTCTAGCAGCCGAGGTTGATACTCTCGAGAGGTCATGAGAGTTTGTACACCTTAAACCCCTTTTAGCTCTGCTAACGGGTTTAAAGGAGAGGTTTGGAGTGGAGTTAACAAAGAAAGAAGCCAAGTAACAAGATTGAGATAAAGATCCTAATGGAATCCGTAGAACTGTTTCTGAAGCTGCCATTTTGAGGAGTGGCTAGCAGAAATTATCGAACTTTAAAAATGATACCTGCAAAATTGTAAGAAAAGAGTCAAACTTTATATAAACTAATGTCGAAACCATAGACCCAGTAAAAGCTTTGAATCAAAAATCTAACTTGCGAAATCATCAAACCTAAAACATGACACTGCAAATCGTAGAAAAAATAAACTTTTGTCCCAACTTCGATCAAACCATAGACAAAACACCATCAAACAAGTCCAATTTCAGTGTTCCATTATAAAAATCCAATCCAGTTCTGTTTTTTTTTTCCTCAGGATTTGTCAAAGATTGCAAGGAAAAAATGGAACAAAAGAAAGGCCTCCGTTTTCAATAGAAAAGATTATTGTAAAATGGGATTAAAGCATCCATACGTAGATAGAACGAAAGGGACTTACTTTGAGTCTTTGATGATGATGATCCAGATTCAGCTTCCGAGAGAGAGAGATATTTATCAAAAAAAATCCACAAAGAGAGAACAAAAAAAAACAAAGAACCCGGTGAAGTGACTGGTCCAAAAACCCTTGTTTTCGAAACACGAGCTTTTTAGTTTTTTTTTCCATCATCCATGAGTTAACGCGTGTGAAACGACGACGTGTCTTAACTGTAAACACTTTCTTGCTTTTTCTTTTGTCTTTCTTTTTTTTTTTCTTTTCTAAAAAAGGGGTTTGAAAACGGACTAGATTGGGTCGTTGACCAATATGTTGGTCTGAAAAAAACAACATAAGAATGAAACAAGCATGAGATTGGTTTATCGAAACGAAGAGATTCAGAATAAGAATCTCTGATCTTCAAGAAATCTTTCATTCTCATTATGAGATATCTCAAAAATCTTTCATTCTCATTATGAAATAACCATGGACGTGGACAGCAGCTCGGTCATGTAGTTTGCCATCGCACATAGTTTGACATTCTTGGTCCGTACACTCTAATGTGCCTATATAGAACTCCTTGCGACATTTCACACAATTGTAGTGGCAAATGCATGAACCTTCCTCACCACAGGAACTTCCAATCGAACCCTTAACTGACGCACACCTTGCAGCACAGTCTGCACATGATCCTCCTAGTGGATTGTCACACACATCCGCATTCGCTATTCCGTTTATTACAATTCCTATTTAATTTGATTTGGTGAGAATTTTTGTTCAAAGTGGGTAATATTTTCCAGATAATAATATATAGCATGGTGTTGTCTCTTTGTTAGAAAATATATGAACATCTACATACAACTTTTATATATATAAAATAGATACCTGAAAAAAGGAACACGCCGAAGAGAAATGTAGAGACATTCATCATCTTAAGAAGAGGACCTCTAGAGGATTTAGGTTTGTTTTGAAAAAAAACTTTATGTAGGTTACTAGGTATATATATAAATAAGAGACATATATAGAAAGAATTCCATAGGGTTGACTGGTTTAATATGCAATTAACTGTATACTTTGACTTTTAAGTTTATACTAGTTTCAGAGTGTATATTGAACTTGATAATTTAGAAGATTTGGTGGAATTCGAGTACTGTATTTTGTATTTTTGAGAGATTTGAGTGATCAGTTTTTAGAAGATTTGGTTGTATTTGTGGAGATTTTATATCTTTAAAAAGGAAAAAAATGATTCAGTGAGAATTTATTGTAAACTTTAGGTGATTTTATGATATTTTAAGAAGGAAAACAAAAAGTAAAAAATATTCGGTTTCATGATATTGTAAACGCATCGATTAATTTTATTTTTTTTGGTAAAATGTTAAGCTAGCATCATTTATTTGGGCAATAATATCCCTATATTTATAAATTGCTAGAGTTGTTGCTCTTATCTTTTTCTCCCATATTAATAAATTGTTTGTTCTCGTTCTGCTTTCATTTTCTCCTTTGGCGTTTTGACGTGTATCGATCCTCAGTGAGTGAGGCTGCTGGAGTACTCTTATTACAGTGTCAAATGAAGTCGTAATTGTGTGCGAGTTGGCATTAGAAAACTAGGAAAGTACGTGGATCCAACTCTGCATGCGTTAGTCAAGTAAATAACATTTAAATTTTAAAAAAAAAAAATAGAAAAGAAGTGATAGCAACTGTACATCAAGAATCAAAATTGTCTCTACACTTTGCTTAAGTTGGACAAGCAAGTATAGTACCTTTCTTTCTTAAACTCATTTACAACCCAACCCGTAGAAAAAATGTCGACAGAAGAGTTTATGAGTTTTCTCAAATACATATGTTTATTTCTTCTCTTTTTGTATTCCCTCAAGATATTCTACTTCAAAAAAGTCTATGTTTACCGAGTTGGAATTGATACTTCTTCGACAGCAAATGATTTCAACAAAGTGAAAACATTTGAACTGCGAGAAGTGACAGATCAGACCAAGTCTACGGGAAAAGGAGGGAGCAGCAAATGATCTTCAGAATCTCTAAATTTCTTTCTTGCTAAATTTGTGCAAAAGATAACCAAGGGAGGCTAGCTAGCTGGACACAGTTACTGGATAAATAATAAACTGTACTGTTTGTCTTTCTTTTTTTCTTTTTTTTAAATAATGTAAAATTATATTCAAGAAAACAATCGTTTTTACAACTCGTGCAACAGGGAGATTAAAACCATTGAGTTATGAAAGAAGAGTAATATTTGAAAGCTAGTATTGAGAGAAGAACCAAAGTTGCAACCCTTTGTCGTACCGCCTATCACCCATAAGCTTTATACACCCAAAGTTGCAACCCTTTGTCGTACTGTTTGTCTTTCAAATATGCTTTCAGTTCCTTTTAATATTTTTGTTTGCGTTTGTAATTTATGTGTATAAACATATGTTTGCTCTGAGTCCATAAATTTGCTTGTAATAATTTTAATAATTATGTTTGCATCACATATAAACATATGGAGAATATCTTGCTGTGACATTTAAAAAAGATACATTCCAAGCAATCGAAACCATAAATTTGCTGTGATGTATTCTTCTGTACATCGAAAACCCTTTTGCAATACAATGTGATTTTCAGTTTTTTTTTTGGAGGAATTTCAAAAATAGTCCTTTTCATATATGTACCTCTTTTTAAAAATACCTCATTTTCAAATATTATAAAAAAAACTACTAAAAATATTGAAATTTATCAAAATATGTGTGTAACCTTATAAATATATACACAAATTACATTTGTATGTGTATAAAACTTTAAGAACAAATATCAAAAGTGTTAAAAAGAAAGCAGCCAAAGACTTAGATTCAAGAATCAGTAATAATTTGTAATTTTTAAGTTGGAAAAGGGTTTTTTTTTTTAAATGGAAAATTTTCTGAACTTTTGGGCTGAGTTATATTAAAAAAAAAAAAAAATTGGCAAGATGAATCTGAAAACATTATAGCAGATGAACGCACCGCTTACGAGAATTGAAAACGTATGTCATAACAACCCTTCGCGTCTTTGCTAAGAGTAAGAAAAAAAAAAGGGAAAAATGCCATAAAAATCCTGCAGAGTACGATTTCGTTGGTTTAAATCCCGAACTTTCCAACTGTTGATTTAAATCACAAACTTTCTGTTTACTCTCTCTTTAATATGAAACTTTAATTGATTTTGCCAATTTAGTCACATCGTTAAATCGCCAAACGGAGCAATTAAACGGGTTTGAATGTCATTAACGAAATCCGTCAAATACAAAATGAAACCGTCTTTAACATAACCCAAACACTTAACCGATTCAACTTTTTCCCCAAAACACTTAACAGAAAGTTGAATCGATTAAGTGTTTGGGTTATGTTAAAAACGGTTTCATTTCATATTTGACGGATTTCGTTAACGACATCTAACCTCGTTTAATTTCTCCGTTTGGCGTTTTAAAGATGTGCCTAAATTGGCAAAGTCAACTAAAGTTTCATATTAAAAAGAGAATCAACATAAAGTTTGTGATTTAAATCAACAGTTAGAGAGTTCGGGATTTAAATCAACGAAATCGTACTTTACAGGATTTTTATGGCATTTTTCCCAAAAAAAAAGGTCATATTTGGTGGCTTGGATAATCAAAGACTTAAGAAACGACTCTTGTAGTCCGACATCAAAATTACTAATTTTCTTTTGGGTCCAAATAGTCAAAATTATTAGAAACAACAAATTCAGTCTTCACCGACTCTTTCATTTTGTAAAAGATAATACAATATTCTCTTTTCTTTTTATCCAACCTATATTATATCAGGTTGAATAAATAGCACAAACCACTATGATACACAAAAATAATTTTTTTTTTGGAAAACACTAAAATATAATTTACAATTAATGTACACATAAATATACATTTTAATTTAGTTTTTTTGCATTTTTTATTTTTTTGCAAGTAATGAGACTTTCGGGACTGTTTTGGGAGAACTTAAAAGTTCAGTTTTTATATATGATACCACTTATTAAAACTACCAATATTTCTAGCCTATTTTTATATTTCCACAAATACTATAAAAAAAATTGAAGAAAGGATCCAAATGAATGATTGGAAAAGATTGAGTCGAAAAAAGTTATATAACTTATGTCAAGATGAATGAGTTAAGATAATTTGTTCATTTTTCCAGATTTTAATTAAACAAGATGACTCGTTTTTCCAACTTATTCATCTCAAATTGGTAAAAAAATGGATAAATGCTCATTTAACTTTCCAATTTAGGTAATCTATTTGCAATTTCATATGATGCATATTAAAAATATATATAAAGTTTATATAAAGATAATAAACAGATGGTTCTTATTGGTATTTTTAAAAGTAGCATTCTTCAAAATTGAGGGGGTCTAAAAGAAATATTTAAAAATAAAGTTAGCTACATGGAATTGGTAATACCTTTTTTAAAGTTTTTTTTTTTATCTCTCTTTTGGAAATTTCCTGCAAGTGAGTGGTGGAAGCAAGGAAGCTGCGTACGTTGAGACCCAATAATTCGTATTGAACAGAAACACCCTTTATTATAATAATAACTCAGGTCTCTTTCTCTCATTTTTGAAGATGCAACCATCTTCATTCAAGGAATCAAATCTTTGTCTCTGGTATTACCTTCTTTAAGTTCGACACACACACACACACATATTGTTTGTTAAGAACTTATCTATCCACTTCCCAAGAAAAATGTCTACGAGATGTCTATCTTGTTTCAAAGTCATACGTTTCAAGAAGAAGCAGAGCAAGAAAGAAGACGAACCCGTGAAAGCAGAGATATTGCCAGAGCCACTTGGTGAAAAAGATAATAAAGATGACAAACCTCTGAAAACAGAGAGATTGCCAGAGCCGGTTGCAAAAAAGAAAAAAGATGTAAAATACAGCTCGTGCAAGAAGATGCCTGAAGAATGCATGTTCAAACCCAAACCAGAATATGAAGGGGCCTCGCATGTAAGCACCAACTATCTTGGACCGCAAGTCAACGGTTTTTATGAAGATCATCACTACGCAGAAACAGATGTATCTTCTTCGCCAATGAATAATGAATTCAACAAAGTGAAGACCTTTGATATACGAGGAGTCACAGAAACTGCCGCTAAGTGACTAAGAGAACTTGTACTGCCTCTCTTGATAATGTTATCTTGTCTTGAGCCACTGATTTCTACCTTTTATGTATTTGGTTACATGTTTTATCAATGCAAGCATATATTTTTGAAGGTTAAACTAGTAAAATCAAAAGTGTTAAAGAAATTAGCAAAAAACAAATATATACAAGATTCAGAAAATCAGAACACTTAACTAAGTTAACTTTAAAAATCATTCATGTGTACAAAGAAAGAACCTCTCACTTTTCTTCTGGAGGACGGAAATAGCTATAAGCTGCAAAGAAGACTTGTAAAGCTGCAAATATAAGAAGCAACAACGCTGCAACTGACGATGCAAATGTCCATGGACTATCGAAATGCGTATGAATAAACTCTGCACAGTGAACATGGAATCCTTTTGAAGTATACTCGTTAACACCTTCAAACACCTTTGCTAAGTAACTCTTCTCTAAGTCGAGGGCAATGTCTTTACCAATGCTTTTATAAAACCGAGACACTTCCTCCTCTGTTCCAAAATAGTTCTCCAGGATCCTTCTTTCACAAAGGAATGCTGCATCGCCTTCTTCGTTTATAAGACAAGCCATGAAAGCTACGTAGCTAGTTATGTGGTTCGATGAATCAGCATATAACTGCTCAAATGCGACACAGTTTAAGAAGACCGAGGCTGTAAAATCATCCATGACTACCGGAGGAATATGAAGCACACCGTTACTAAACTTTATGTCTAAGATTGAGTCTGTGTTCTTCCTTGGTTTGAACTTGATTCCTCGAAGATGAAGCTTCTTGGCTGAGAGAACAAATCCGAGATATTCATGATCTGATGATGTTTTGCTAGATTTTCCTTGTTTTCCCTCGGAACAACAGAGGATTGTGAGATAGTTATGATCTTTGATGCTTCTTTGAGAAGGAACAGGAACAAAAGTCTTACGTATTAAATCAAGAAGATGTTTTGCTTCAAGACCATAATGTTTTTCCCAAAAGGTCTCTGGTTTTTGTAATGAGTAGTCAAAGAATTCAAAAGCCATCTTGTTAAGACCACTACAAGCAACTAACCTCGATGCTTCGCATAGAGCTTGAATAAGAAGATACGGAACCTGGTTTTCCAAAAGTAGAAGATCAGCTCGAATCGACGGCAAAATCCATGGCATTCTGAAAATAGGATCATCTTGATTCGTGTAAACAACTTTCCCGGATACAACAAAGAACAAGGTGAGGATTAAGCAACCATCAAGAACCATCATCTCAACCAATTTTTCAGAATCTAAACCAAGATCCTCGGAGTAAGAACCTCTTATAACTCCTTCCAAATTAGATACAGCTTTGACCAGTTCTTGAGGATCAATTCCCTTTTCTTCCATTTTAGTCACGAAAAACTTCAAGAATCGGCGTTTATGCTGCTGTGTCATCTGGAGATGTTCCTTGCCGTGATGGTAAGGACCAATGGATACGATCTTTGGTTCGTAAGCTTTGAGGTTGATTCTTGCGAGGCTCTGTGGGATTCTCACGATGCAACATGACTCTGAACCTGCTGATTCTCTCAGAAGCTTCGGACCAACATCTTCTGAAAGTAATCGATGTATGTCCACGACTGTTGTCGGGATGAGATTGCCATGACTATTCTGGCCGGCACTTTGGTTGGCCTGTGGATTCATTTGTACAAATCTTCAAACCCACCTAGAGAATGTCTTCTGGTTAGGTGGAAGACTTGAAATAGTTTTTTTTTTAATATATAGATTAAAGTTATTTTCGAATTTTGTATTGACACTCAGGAAAGAGAAGTGAAATTTCGCACTAGCAAAACGTTGACAAGTCACCCCGTTAGGTAAGACTTTTCTTCTTTAACTTTTGCAAGAGATAACAGTATTTAATTATTTTCTTATAGTTTCCACGTGTTTTTTTTGGGTAAGTTTTACAATTAACTAAATTTGGACAACTCTGCATTTACACTTTTAAGTCAACTTTGAAAAAGTGACGGAACACGCTTTACATTAGTACTGGATATATATAAACATCAAAAACCTGATCTTTTGTTTTTGTATACCTTTGATCACAATTAACAAGCAAGCAATAGGTTACTAAAATCTTGAAAATGTCTAGAGGATGTCTAAGTTGTCTCAACATCATATTTTTGAGGAAGAAGGAGCAGAGTAAGAAACAACAACACAATCCAGTAAAAACAGAGGATGTTGTGGTTGAGCCAGTAGGAGTAAAATATGATGACGAAGAAAGCTCGGGAAAGAAGAACGACGTCATGGGATCACCGGGGTACAGAAAATCTGAGTATATGTATATTAGTGACATTGTTTATGGGAAACTTGGGGAAGGTGATTCTTCTTCATCCTTGAGAAACGATTTCAACAAAGTAAAGAGCTTTGACTTACGAGGAGTGACAAAAACAGAGGAGAGCTACGGTAGAAGATAGGACTTAAGAGTATTGAGATGTAATGTTTCCTCATGTTTAACATTTTCACAAGCTAGCTCTAGATTACTCTCTTTCTCAAAAGCTTTTGTGTATGTTGAAAAAATATATGGATCTCTATAGTGTGATTATGCTATCTTGTTGCAACAAGAACATACTTTTTTTTGTGTAATCTAGGCAAAAAATAACTTCTAAATAAAAATATGAAATTTGATATTACATTTTATTCCAATACACCATATATACTGATAGAGGAGGCACTTACATTTCAATTGTTTTTGGGAGGACTGAAGTAAGCATAAGCTGCAAAGAAGGCTTGGAATATGGTAAGAATAAGAAGCATCAAAGCCGCACAAGAAGATAGAAATGTCCATGGAGTGTTGAAATGTGTGTACTTGAACCCTGCCCATTGCACGTGGCATCCTTTTGAAGTGTACTCGTTCACACCTTCGAACACATTTGACAAGAAACTCTTGCATATGCTGAATGAGATGTCTTTTCCTATGTTCTTGAAGAATAAAGAAACTTGTTCACCCGTTCCGAAGTAGTTCTCTATGATCCCTTTCTCGACTAAGAAGGTCGCATCATCTACTGTGTTTATCAAGCAACCCATGAAAGTTACATAGCTTGTGATCTCAGTGGAGCATTTCATATTAAACTGCTCAAAGGCAACGCAGTTGATCAAAAGAGAGCTGATAAAGTCATCAAAGACAAGTAGTGGGATTTCAACCAGACCGTTCTTGAAACTTATGTCTAAAGGTGTCTCAACATTCTCCCTCCGCTTGAATTTTATTCCTCGAAGTTGAAGTTTGCTGGCTGAGACAATTAGGCCGAGAAAAGGGCGAGGAGGAGGCGATGATGTTTGCGCTTCAGTTCTCTTCTTTGGAAAACTTATCTTACCTAGACAAGTGTTTTGAGATGTCTCTGTTCTTGAATTTTCCCCAGGTCCAGGACCAGTGAAAATATTGATACAGCATTGCTTTGGGGTGATAGGTGGAGGAGAGGCGGGTATGAAAGTCTTACGAATAAGATCAAGAAGATGTTTTGCTCTAAGATGGTTGTGTTTCTCCCAGAACCCTTCAGGTTTTTCTAACGAGTAATTGAAGAATTTGAAGGCCAGCATGTTTAAAGTAGTGGATGGAGCTAACTTTGATGTCTCTAACAGAACTTTGAGAACAAAGAGAGGAACCTGGTTTTCGAGAAGAAGAAGATCGCTTCTAAGAGTTGGCAATATCCACCGCAGCATGAAAATAGGGTCTTTGGGATTTGTGTGTTCAATCTTTCCTGAAACTATTAGGAACAACATAAGAATGAAACAACCGTCAAGAATCATCACCTTGATCAGCTTTTGTCGACTAAATTCAAGATTCTCAGAGTAGGAGTCTCTAATCTTCTTTTCCAATCCTGAGACTACATCGACTAAGTGACTTAGATAGACGTCATTGTCCTTAGTCTTTGACACGAACATCTTCAAATAACCTTTTTTATGCTCCTCTATCATCTTGAGATGTTGTTTATCACTAGAATGGTGATAAGGGCCTATTGAAACGATCTTGGGCGCGTAAGCTTTGTCGTTGACTTGCTCTAGAGTGTGAGGGATTCTATAGATGCAACAAGATCTATCACCTGCTGATTCCTTCAGATGGATTGGTGGGAGCACTTCATCTAAGAGCAAATAAGCTTCTTCTTCGTTTTCTTTCCGGTTGGTGGTACTCTGATCTTCATTGGCTTGGCTGGGAAGATCCATGGCTCTCTTGTTATTAGTCTTTTGTTTTCTCCTTTGTGAAATGGTTTTGTTGAACATCTAAACAAAGTATTTTAACGGTTAAAGTAAGACCATAATAGACTCAAATCTAAACAAATAGACTCAAATCTAAAATGATAAATTTTGTCTCTTTACTATATACTCTACAAATATCACGTTAGTCCACATATCATTAGTTTAAGCCTTTCTCAGATCCAGATGTCGTCCACACATGAAATCACTGATGATAATCTCCTTTGTGACTTATTTGTTTGTTTGTGATTTATTGTGCAAACTTGTCAACTACTCAAAGAGATTGGATCCATTAATGATAACATAGAATAAGTCGACCAAGAAAAAATAAATTTAAAATATTGGTCTATTAGTAGTGGTGGTAGGCAATGTCCTTCTCGAAAGATTGATAAATTCTTGTCTCCTAGATTCAGAAATAGTTTGGGAGTGGACTATGTTAACTCCTCTCTTGTTAATCAGTATAGGCGAGTTAAAAGACCGAGTCATCGTTTCTCCTCTCACCGTAAGACTTTGCAGGTCGATCCTGTCACCATCATCGAGAAGAGACAGATAACGCTAATCTAGTCAAGAAATCCACACGTTCTAACAAGACTAGCTCGTCCATGTTTTTATTATATTGCATGCCTTTTAGTTTTGTCGATTGAAAAAGCACCAGCTCATATCATAAAATGTTTATTTAAGTTCTTTCTAATATGGGATAGCTCATTTACACGTTTGGTAAATTCTTAATCAGTTTAGTTTTTGTGTTCCCATCCTCGTTGACCCTTATCGTCTTTACTCTTTAGCTTTGATCAATCTCACATCTGAAAAAGAAGAAGATGGTTTCGTGGTTAGTCGTGTTAGGATCCATTCTTCTTGTTATTCTTCTTTTTCTTATTTACGTAATCCGTCAGTTATATTATGAGGCCACCATACCGGAAGGACCCGAAGGTGGGTCTTTTTCTTAAGTCAGTGCGATTATAAGTTTATAACAAAGCTCCTTTAGCAAAATCATACTAACTTAACGTCACAATAACAAAATTTTCTTGTCGCAGCTGATAAGAAAGCTAGACCAGAAGAGGAACACCTTATAAGCCCGAGTGTTTCAGGTGAGTCAATTACTTTACCAATTTTTGTTTTTTTTTTTACTTCTGGACAAGTTCTTATAATTTGCCAACATACAGAGGAATCGAGTTCAGGAGAAACAAAGGAAACGGGCGATGTCCGTATAGCTCAAGTCTGCGGGCTGTCTGGAGACGAGATGAAAGCGAGTGTTCGTCCACCAAGAACTGCATACTACGCAGGATCTGACTTTGTGTTGCAGGGACAAACGGATAGCGATTCCGACTAGAATTTCATATGAATTTGACTAGTTCAATCATATATATACCAGCTTTATTTCATCTCTCATTTTCAGGATTTTTCTTTCCTCTTACAAAATGTATAATATTATGAACTAGGATTTTATCAATGTAGGATAATTTTGTTTACACGCGATTTTAATTAAATCATTTTATTTGATATGTCGAATATTTTAATATTGGTGATAGGTATTATTTAACAAAATAATAAAACGAGAACTTAGCTTATATTTTAGTACTGGAATTAAACTCGTTTTCCCATATAATCCGTCTAATGTTATTTAATTTTTTAATAAATTAAATTCTTCATTATAGTTTCTAAAAAAATATTAAATTTAAATATATAAATAATAAGATTTAAAACGGTTTAGAAGTTTAAATCTATTATATCCAATATATTTAAATCAACTAAAACCAAAATAAACTAAATAGTAAATAGTAGATACAAACTTTTAAATTTAATAAATTTGTTAAGTTAAGATTTCTTGGATTCACTTCAGACTTTTAAAATATAATCCAAATCATTATCTATTTTTTTTTTTATATGGTCACGAATTTGGACAATTCCGTCCAGCAATTCTTTTGAAGATTATAGTGTTTCCAAGTAGACAAGGAATTTTCCTGTATATATACATAAATTTTTCTATTTTCATAATCTAATCATAATAGTCATTGTTTCTCGTCGCAGGTACCGTACGTCAGTAACGGTAATTAATATAGTCAACAAATCACGGGTAGTATTACTTACTAACACGTTTTAACTCGTCCATGTTTGTCTACTCTACTGCATACCTCCGCCTAGTGGTGACCCTCGAAATGACTTGATAACTAAAAGAAATGACTTGATAGCTAAGTTTTTAATAGAGTGACTAATAACCATTTCTATGTTTGGCCACGATTCTAATTTTTTTCCCCTCTTGATCAATAATAAACCCGTGGTATTTTGACAATATTCTTCTAGTATATATATGCATAATGCAGGGTCGTTGTCAGCAGAAATGAAATAATTAGAATACAACGCAATTTGTATAAAACAGAGAGAAGAGTAATAGAAAAGAACAAAACGTTAACTTTCCTCGAAAGAAACTATAGAAAGAAAAACACACATTGTTCATCACATCATTATTGGAAATTGAAAATATGAGACGATTCAGGGGATTGGTGCCGTAATCATAAATCACCATCGTTGTCGTCATAACTGACATCTTCGTGCATGGGGTCGAATTCTTCTCCGGCATGCATCATGTTCCGTCCTCCCCCTCCCCCGGCAGTGTTGCATACATTTGCTTATATTATTAAAAACCAAAAAACCATTACAAGATTATGACCAAAGTTATCATGACAACATTAGGGAGGTACACTCATAATCAAATAAAATAATTTACTTTTAATTTTCTATAATTATGCATACTTTAATTTCTATACAGATTCTTCAGTAATGTCCTTTCTACAATTATTGATTTTATCAAAAACCTTAAGATCTTGTAGTTGCTTTGATGCTTTCTATTGATCAGTTTGTAATCATAAAGAGACTCTTCTAAGTTCTAATCTAATCATAGAGAGTCTCTTCTAAGTTTTTTTTTTTTTTTTTTTTGAAAGAGACTCTTCTAAGTGATTTAGCCATAAAGAGACTTTTGATTTGGTCGAAGATACCTCCAAATGCTTGCGTTAGGAACAAAAGTAGGATTAGACACACTGCGAGGATGCTGCTTCCTCTACCTGGTACCACAAACACCGGATCAATATCATTAGCGCACTTTTGTCGCAATCATTACAAAAAAGCAAACGTAAAACATGTATGTATTTGTCCATATTTTACCAAAGTAACATTAAAAACGGATGGCAATAACTTAATTACGAAATCAAAAACCTCAATATATACCCTCTCCCAATATATATTTTGTCGTATACGAATTAATTATAAGACAGTCGTGTATTTATACTAACCTCGTTTATGTTTCGGTATGGGATCGTTAGCACCGACGATCATGGTTCCAAACACCATACCCATCGCTTTTTTGTTTCGCTTTTCTTTTTGTTCTTCTGTCGATGATCAGGCTATATGTCTCCCATGCCTCATGAGTTACTCTTTATACAGATATAATTGGATCTAAAAGTCAATTCTAAAGAGTTTTATGAAACTGGGTCAATATTAATACATTAATCACCGGTCTTAATTAAATCATATGTCATAACGTGGACCTTATCAATTTTTTTTAAGACCGGGCATTATATTTATATTTAATTACAAATAAAAGTTTTGCATATGATCATAAGTAAAGAAGGTGGAGAGGATTTGTCAAAAAAAGAAGGTGGAGAGGATTTTTGTTTTATTTTTGAGAAGTTGCATGTTCAATTGTTAATTAACTAGATTTTGACCCACACTACAGCGCGGAGGAAATGTTTCGATTTGATTTTGATATATTATTCGGGGTTTCTGATATTTACTCATCATAATTAAAAGTAGGGATTAAACAATAGCAATTTCGAGTGGTTTGTGTTAATTTGTTGTTTGAAAAGCATGTTTTAAATTAAAACCACATTTACTTTCAATGCACTATATTTCATGTGTTCTAAAGTTAACACATTCTCTTATAACCAAATAACCTCTAAGAATTCCTATATTATTATATTTAAATGTTTTTTAATATTCATTTGTAATAGGATTTTTAATTTTTTAAATGTAATATTTAGTTTGTGTAGTAATTAGTGGACTTATGTAATTTTACAAAGTATGATAATATATTTTAAGAAACATTTAAAATTGTAATTGGGCTACGAAATTACTTTAAACTTAATACACGTAAAAATGAACAATTTTAACTTAATACAGGTTAGAATTTGATTTAGTTGTGTTCTTTAAGACACGTAAAAATGAACAATTTTCATATAATTTATGTAACATTTGGTATTACAAAGTATTTAATGGTAAAACTTAAGTGGTGTGTAACATGTTCTGATCCGTTGCAAAAATATTATGACCCGTTTTTAATATTTTAAATATTCTTTTATTTTTTATATTTGAATATTTAAAAGATTTCAACATTAAAATATTTGAAACTTTTAATACTTTTAAAATTATAATATTTTGAAACTTATTAAAATTAATAAATTAATCACCGGTCTTAATTAAATCATCTGTCACAACATGGACCTTATCATTTTTTTATTTTTAAGACTGGGCTTTATATTGATATTTAATTACAAATAAAAGTTTTGCATATGATCGATCATAAATAAAGAAGGTGGAGAGGATTTGTTAAAAAAAAGAAGGTGGAGAGGATTCTATTTTTTTTTGAGGAGTTGCATGTTAAATTGTTAATTAATGACTATTACATTCATCCGATTAATTACATTATAGATTATACTGTAATACGATTTTTTGGATAGAGTACTGGTGTTAACCGTACGGTTACCGGAGAGTCGGAGACAAAGGATCCCGTAAGAGACAGTGAAATGGGCTTTGATAAAACAAGATCTACAAAGGTTGAAATATGTATACTTGATTCCTGCGCATAGTATTTGTACACGGTATCTTTGGGCAGTGTACTTGTTGATTCCCTCGAACTCATTTGACAAGTAACAACGGGATATGGAAAACGCAATGTCGTTGCCAATGTTCTTGAAGAACAAAGACACTTTATCTCCCGTTCCGAAATAGTTCTCTATGATCCCCTTCTCAATTAAGAACGTTGCATCTTCAGCTGTGTTTATGAGGCAGCCCATGAAAGTAACGTAGCTTGTCATTTCGGTTGAGAAGCTTAAGCTGAACTGCTCAAAGGCGACGCAGTTGATTAAAAGAGAGCTGAAAAAGTCATCAAATGTCAGTAGCGGTATTTTAAGTACACCGTTCTTAAGAGTTATATCAAGCGGTGTCTCACTCTCCTTTGGCTCGAATTTTATTCCTCGGAGTTGAAGTTTTATTGCTGAGACAACCAGCTTGAGATGAGGGCGAGGCTTCGGTTGTTGTTTTTTTTCTGTTGGTTGTTGTGTTTCGCTTGGTTGTTGTGGTGGTGTTGATTGTGGTGGTGTTGATGTGTCCGCTTGAGCTTTACTTTTGGAAGGACTTAGTCTATTGAGGAATGTAGAAACGTTAAATATATTGGTCCAGCTTTGTTTTTTTTTGGGAGATTTGGGTATGAAAGTTTTACGAATGAGATCTAGGAGATGCATTGCAGGAAGATCCTTTCTTTCCTTCCAAAACTTATCTGACTTTACTATTGAATAACGAAAGAAGTTAAAGATGATACTGTTTAACTTAGTTTTGATGTCCAAACTGGAAGAAAACAGTTCTGATTTCGAAAGGAGAGCTTGAAGAAGGAATAGGGGGACCTGGTTTTCAAGGAGGAGGAGATCACTTCGAAGAGTTGGTAGAATCCACCGGAACTTGAATATTGGGTCATAAGGATAATCCTTACGCCAATCCTTGTCTGAAATTACAAGGAACAACGTGAGGATGAAGCAACCGTCAAGAACCATCATGTCGACCAGCTTGTCTGAATCAAAGTTCAGATCCTCTGAATACGAGTCTCTGATCTTCTTTTCTAGCCCCCGGACTTCTTGGCACAAGTCCGTCAAATACACCTTTTTTCCTTTTATCTTGGACAAAAAGATTTCAAGATATCGTTGTTTGTGCTCCTGGATCATCTCAAGATGATTTTTACGGCCATCTTTACCTCCTTCACCATCTCTACCGCCTTGAGCATCTTTAGTACCATCCAAATGGTGGTATGGGCCTATCGACAAAATCTTCGGTTTGTAAGCTGTTTCATTGGCCTCAAAAAGAGTGTGAGGGACTCTAAAGATGCAACAATCTTCATGACCGGCCGAGTCCTTGAGATGTTTCAAGGGGTACTTCTCCATTTCTATGATGCAACATGAGGTATCTTTTTCGGCCCCTGAGATTGTCTTGCTACCTCCAGTGGGCTCATGACTCATGGCTCTCTACTGTCTTTCTTTTGTTTCTTTTGGATGTGATCGCTCTCTAGTTTTTTCTTCTTCTTTTTCTTGACAATAAACTATCAAACGGGTTAGTTAACATTTAAAGAAAAACAAAATTATTATTGTAAGACCATGAAATTCATAAAGACTTCTATATTTTATCTACAAGACAGCATACAAGTCATATTAAAAATAGAGGATGATTAAAGAAGGTCTAACATTTCTTATCATGAAGTTATATATGATCTAAATGATTTATCCACCTACATTTTACAATTATAAATTCACTAAGTGTTATAATTGAAACTCTACCCTCCACCAATAAAATTCCATGATGTCAAATTGTCATTGACATATATAACCTCCATAATACAACCTGTTTAAACGAAATAAGCACCGAGGTAACAATTTTATATGCAACTTTTTTGTTTAATATACTGTTATATGTACTTAAAAAGGTTATGTTGCATGACTTAAAACCTTACATTGAAAATTCTGCAAACTTTAGTAGCAATTTCCCAAATCAAACAATTTCAATTTAATATTTCGTATAAGAAAACGTGAAGACTATATATTATAACAGGTGATGTGAATAAATCAACTAACGCGGCAAAAGAGATAGTGACATGAAAACGGTGACGCCACCATCTCAGATGTAAGAGGTAATAGTCTGGTTTCCTTATAAGACCATCTTTAATGGGGTATTGAAGAAAAATATTGCTCTAAAATAGAATTGAAGTACCCAGAAAAATATTTTTTCTTAAAGAAAATCTTGCTCTAAAATACCCCTATTAAGGATGTCCTAAAACCTTAACAGGAACTAAATAGAACTGATATCACAGTAGAAGTTATTATATATGAGTCATTATATTTATACATGGATCGATCTTGGCATTTATCAAATGTGTTGGGACATTGTAAAAGAAAAATGCAGCCCAAGTCGAATTTTTGACCTAGTAAAAGGAAAACGGGACCGGTCCGATTAACAACACTAGTTCGATTGAGAAGGTCAATAATGCGGCTAAAATTTCTTATGCAATTCGTATTTTTTTGTTCTCCGGTTAAATTCAGCATTATATAAATAAGTAATCAATGTATTGCTAGGAAAATATCCTATAGTTTCGATTTTTTCGTAAAAGACTAAAAGGCATTTTAATTAGGTCTTATTATGACCATATATAGATCCACCGGGTACGATAGACTTTGCAACCTTGTGAGATATTAGTAGTATATTTATATTTTATTGAATCGAACTAGAAGTTTTCTTTTCTTTTTTTATTATGCTATGTGAAAATTTTATTATTTTCTTATAAAAACTAACTCTATTTGATGGAATGAACTTGTTATTATAAAATGTGATGTTATAATGATATAGATGAGTATTATATTATATATTACAAAACAAAATGTATGTGATTATAAACCGTTTTAGAAAAACAAATACTAATTAAAAAATTCAATAAAACGTATTAATTCGTAGCAGATTAAACTTCAGCCTTTTCGCTTATGATAAGGGTTAATGAATACGACAAACATATATATAACGACATGTGCACCATCTCGGAATTTAGCTAATCAAAGTTTAATAATAGATAGAAAGGAAAAAAAACAGCAGTTGACTTTTTTTACTTTCATCTGGCACTATTCATAGAAAACGATTTGTGTAGTTTTCACACTTTCAACTTGATCTTCTAGTTCGTCCATACCACTGGTTCACTACTACTATTTACAAAACCAAATCAATTTGACTTTTCTTATAATAAAATTGTGAATAATACAAGTGGGTAATATAATGGTATATATACAGCTAGCAAATAATGCGACACCAAAGAAGATAAGGACATGAACAACTGCGTTAGGTTACGTAATAACATCGACGTCAGCACTAAATGGTATCATGACTCTCATCATAAACGTTCATAATTTCAGAACCACGTGAGTTATGACAAGTGCGTGTATATATATATTGTAGCATCCAAGTCCATGACTCGCATGAAATAATTCAAAGGAACAACATCTAGCGTCCCAGAAGCGACAGTACAATGCATGTATAACACTTCAGAGTTCAGACTCTGCACTTGGCCTTTCGTGAATGTATGTATAATGATTCTATATATACACGTTCAATGCATATATGCCATATTAATAGATTTCCACAAATAAGTCCACTGAACAAAATTAAACTTTCTATTCACAAATATGTTATTTGCGCATATAGTATTCTATTCATTACCTAAGAATCTTTTATACAAATCGTTTCACAATTAGCAGCTATATCATGTTGTTTAATTATATATACAAGTCTACTAACATTAATTCTAATTGCTACGATCACAAATCGTTCAGATACTAGCAAGATTTATTGTTAGACTGAACAAAAGAAGAGTGGTATGAGCGAGAAGTGGGTGGATCTGTGATCAGTCAGAGCAATATTATCCATAGTCTCTTAACAAATGTTAGCACTAAAATTTGTGAATGAGATGGTTCTTATATAAGAGTCTTTTTTTTTTAACAAATCTTAGCTGAGATTTGTTATATAAGAGATAATGGTCTCATTTTCTTCTCCTATAATCACTAGAGCTTCTTCACTATTGTTTTAGATCTGACTGATGACATATGATGAAACATTAACAATTCTTGGGCGATAAAAAAAAGGCAATAAACGATTAAAAAATAAAATTAATAAAAAGGTAAAAAGTAGGGAGAGCTGCATTTCGTAACAAGAAAATTTTCATTTACGATATTTTTTTGTATTTTTTTTTAATACATACGACTTTCTAATGTTGGAGTGTTGCATTTGTAAACAGAAAATTCGCCCATGTGGAGATTTCTTTTTTCTTTAATTCGTAAGACTTTCTAATATTGGTGTGTTGCATTTGTAAAAAACGGAGAGTTGTATTTGTAAACAGAAAATTCCCATTGGGGATATTTTTTTTTGTTTTTAATGCATAAAAGACTTTCTAATATTGGAGTGTTGTATTTTAAAAAATGGAGAGTTGCATTTGTAAAAAGAAGATGCATGAACATAACGTCGTGATTCCTATTTTAGGATAAAATCCTCTTTCTGTTATGTATTTAAATCTTGAAAGTGGATTATATCATATGTGGTCATGCAGAGTATAACATGATAGCTTAATGAAATCTAAATACACCATAATACCAAATACAGTATTGTTTTTTTATATTAAAACCAATGAAACGAAAATCGTTTTTTATCTTTGACATTTGTAACTTAGTATATACATTAATATTAGATATTCCAATAGTCGATCACAAATATAATTTTCTTTTCAACTCTATTTCTAATATCTCTCAAAGAACTTAGTTGTAATGGTAAATATAACCGAGAATTGTTCACAACATGAAACGAACCACTCAAGGTATATATGGTGTCGGTATATATAGGTCAATAGACGTTCACTTTGACCATCTATATAACTTGCTGCCTTTGGTTAATTTATTAACAAGTTAAACTAATGAAATTAGAGACAAGAAAAAAAGGAAAAAGTTAAAAACAAAATATTATTATGATCGGAATTTTCCATTATAACATTAATTCATGCTTGATGTTTCCTTTTGATTGGACGAGGCAAGGACAGCCAAAGAAAACAGTGTTCATTTGTACATAATATTCTACGCCTGCTCGACAAAACTATTCAACAACACAAATAGCCACAACTCTCAAATAAAACATTTTACAAAATAGTTAGCTGATAAAATCTTAGCACAATATCTCAAAAGTAAAACTGATCATAACGATCCCACGAGTCGAGATTGTCAAATAACAAATCTGGATCAAACTCAGCACTTTCACTGCCTGATGACGATGAAGGAGGGTAAGAACCTGATGGTGACGATAGAACATGTTGACAATCTTGGTCATTAATAGTACTGGTTGTCTCACGGTACTGATCCATGTTTTGTTCGCTGATGATGATATCTTCTTCATGCTTAACCGACAAGGAGAAACCATTTGAGGGGCTTTCCTTTTTGAGATCTTTCACTCCGAAATGGATCATTTGTGCACTTTTCGAATCATCTAGGGGTTCTTGAACGGAAGTAAAAATGGCATCAAGATTATGATTGGTTTTGCAAGTGTGGTGGCCAAAGTAAGTGGTTCGGTAAACCGGAGGGTTGTCTTTGATCTTTTGTTCATGCTTTCTTGCTCCACAGTTATGATCTATGTTGTAAGAACATCTATAGTAGCTCCTGTAACATCATCATACACCAAATTAGTATTGTATTAAGATAATTACGAACTAATTTTTGATTAGCTAGAGTAGTATATTTCTTATATTACCTTTGGTGCTCAGATTTTTTAATGCACTTTTGGCCATATTTCCTCCAAAGATAACCGTCGAAGTAAATCGGATCCGGTGAATCGTCTCTCCAGTTTGCACTTGAATTGGTATTATCAATCTTTCTGTAAAAATGAGTATTATCAAAATATTAGCATAAAATCAACATATACCAAAATTTTAGCTACTAATGGACCATTTGAATGCATCCGTGATTTATATTTTGAACACCATATATTCAGAAATACATGAGCTTTATTAACTTTGTCATTAAATATCTTCGAAAAAATAGAATTTCATAAGATGTTGTACTTTAATTTATGATTAAGAAAAAAAAAATATTCTTAAAATCTAACAAAGTGAATACCTTTTCTTAGATGGGCTGCCCTGTGGAGGAGGAAGAGGAGAAGAATCCCTTGAAGATAAAACAGAGAACTGATCATCTTCGGATTTCGGTTTATCGGATAAGATTGAAATGGCATTGGAGAAACAATCGACGATCGATTTAGCAAGTTCGTAACTTGAAACCGGTCCGGCCTCAGCCATTTTTGAATGGTCGAGCCGCCTCTTCAACGTCATGGCGCAGCTATGGCCATAAAGGATAGCTTTCACCGCCTTTTCGTGTGGAGAGTTCATTTCCATAGAGTAGAGTGATCTTGTGTGTGTCTTCTTGTCCCTGTTTTGTAGTTTTGTTTTGCTTTCTCAAGTCTCTTCTTCTCTCTGCTATTAATTTTGAACGGATAGGGAGATCAGAATTTATAGGAACAAGTTGTACATACACGTTACTAAATGACTTCACCAATTTGAGTTAATCAAATATAATTATACATACACTAGGGTATAGTTTAACAAGAAAATGAAAAACACTATAGTTTCCATTTCGGACATGTGCTACTAAAGCTTCACCTTCACCAATGGGTGTATCTATCTAAATAAAGGAGAGATAGATTAGGTGTTGACCTTAGCATATGATCTGTCATGTATAGGAAACATAATTCATTTTTATATATCTTTCCTCATTACGCGGCTCGCTTAATTATAAAGAATCTGTTTCTAATTATTGCATAAATTATCTCTTTTTGTTATTACACTAATTAATCTACGCGGTTCGCTTAATTATCACATAATTTTGTCTTTTTAACTAAATTTATTAGAACACATAATAAATTTTCCTTGAGTATATAAGACAGGAGGAATCTAACAGAAAGATGTGTTTCTTAATTATAAAATGTCAGAAAGATTAGAGAGACTTGTGAGCTAAACCCCAAATTATAGTCCTTCTGTTCTAATATAATTGATATCTTAAATAGTGATAAAGAGTTCTGTTAATTTTGCTTAATGTAACAAGATTCACAACTTAAGTATGATCATTGATTCATTTCCATAGTTTTCTAGTGAACATACTCCACTAGAATGTTGATCATTCGTGGATGGTCTTTAATGGTAATAATATCTAAGTTTCTAGAGTGTATTTTAGTTCACAATCAAAACAAAAAATGTCAATGTTTAGACCAGACAAAAGAAAACTATTAGGTACTACTGTACTAGATTATGTATTAGAAAGTAAGATCTGATGAAACGATTTTTTCAACGCTTTAAAGAGAGAAATAATTGCAATATATGTAGCTGGCGAGTGGCGACTAAATGCACCAACCAATGGAAACGGCATTAGTATCGTCGGATACATCGACGTCATCCCCATGACGTAGTCTCATCGAAGGTGCTGATTTCACCAGTCTGACGTGAGAACAAACTCACCAATCGCATATTTTATCACTATATTATATACTAACGACAACTAGTAGTCAACTATGCTGTACGTGAGATCAATTTGTTTGGCTACTCCGTCCATGTTTTATTTTAAAATCGATATATAGTAATATAAAACTTGAAATCTTATACTTACCGGTAATGAATTCACACCAATTCATGAAACGACTGACGAACAATAAATCACAAAAAAATTATAATGGTAAGTTTAGTTTTTTTTTGCCTAGCTAACCCTATCTTCTTCTCCGGGTGAATAATAATGTCAACTAAACTGATATATATCTACATAAAAGAATTTGTATATACATTAACTTTGGCATGTGATCACTTTGATCTGATCTGTGAAACTCGTTGCCCACATGTATTTTGTTCTTGTTATTAGCAAATTGTTAGGTTTTGTTGGGAATTGTTTATAGGTATACTATATTGAGAAAGGGGGGTCACATATGTATAAGTCAAGCAAAAGCTATGGGTCAAGTCATATTATTTTATGTGTATTGAGAGAGTAAATGTGAATGTGATCATGACTTCCATGACAATAATGCAGAGAACATTTTGTATTAGTTTAAAAAAATATATATTTATTGGCTAATTAAACTCAAGTAGTTGGAACGTAGCTTCCATGTCTTCTTTATTCTCACGACGACTTCATCCAAATTTTTTTTCCATTTTCAATAATCCAACAGAACTTAAAAACTTATCCCTAGATTGACTTCTTTTGGAGTATTATTATATCCAAGATATTTTATCTTTGGATTCGTGCTTCCAGCTTTGACGTACTTATATATTTCCTAGTATGGAAAAAGAAAACATCCATCGTGCTAGCTCGCGATCTAACATTTTGGGGGTAGCCAGCTAATAGGACCACTGGTAACACAATAATTAAGGCTCATCTACTTAACTTTATAGATATAGCCAATCCCATGTTAGATTTGGTAAACGTAACACAACATTTCTATACACTAAAGACAAGCTTTTGCTTTAACGACGTTCTTCTATATATAGGAAAGGACAAATTAGCAACAACTTTGGGACAAGATATATAATTTCCCGGTTTTTGATTATATAATATTATTAGACCAAGGTTATAAATTTTAAAGTAGATATAAAAAGGCCTTTTGAAATGCTTGAATTTTGTTATATCATCATTGATAGTCAACTTTGGCAAATGAGAAAACTTGGGGTTGATTGAAATCAAAACTATGGGGAGAATTAGTGGACTATAAGGTTTGCTTCAACAACTTTTTAATAGACTTGTAGAAAAACCACACGATCCAGCTGCCTTTTTCAACCACCATAATTTTGGATTTGTGTTATAAACTATATTCCACAAGAAACAAAACTTCATTTATATCAAGCTTGAGTTCATATTTCTAAACTAAAAGTAGTTCCGTTTAATTAGTCAATTTAGTTAGAATCTGATGACTGAAAGTTTTAAGTCATGTGTGTTCAAATATTACATTAACTATATGTTACAAAACAAAAATCGGCTATTTTTACCAAAATAAAAATAAAACGGCCATCGATTTTTTCTAAACCAAAATATGGTTTAAAAGACAAAATACTCCAAAACAAATACATACATATATATATATATATATATATATATATATATATATATATATATATATATAACTCGGATATCATTTTTTATCATTACCAAGATATAAATAAAGAATTAATTATTGATCTAGTCTATTAACACTTTAACAAATACAGTAGTATAAGTTAAAGATACAAGTCGCTATTATAATTTTGTTTGTCATGTTTTGCAGTAATATAATAAAAAAGATATCCGAAATGTTCTTGCTTCTCGGCTGAGTATTCAATTCTTAAAATTTTATTGTGATGACGTTGAAACCTTTGGTGATGGGACGGATTGGCCAATTACAGCTTTTTCACTAGATCCTTAGGAAAATTGTAATTAAGTCAAAGAGTCCTCCAACTTTTTTGTAATCAAGAGAAAAGAAAAAAGAGTTTCATGCAAAAATGTGGGAATTGCCAAGCCCTGGGCAAAATATTCATTAAATTCGCTTCGCTTCGATATTCGTTTTGATTCGATTCGAAAAATTCAAATATCTATAAGATATTGAACCAAAGCAAATATGAAAATGTAGTATTCGTAAAAACCGAAGCAAATAACAAATATTGATTTTTTTAGTGTCGAATATCCGCTTCGCTTCGTATATTTATATATATGTATAAATATAAATCTTTATATAATATATATTATATGTGTATTTATAGATTTGGGTATATATCTTATAGGGCTATTATTTAAATTATTATATTTTGGCCCTTTGGTTTTTTTTTTGCTAAATGTTATTTTTAAGCAAATAAAACTTTATTAGAAAAATCAAAATTAAAAATAAAATGTGAGAATTCTATGGACGGTAGTTACATTTCTTCTGATTTTGAAAATATGTCAAACAAGAACCTCCAATATCTCATATTTTGCACTTTATATTTATGTACGATATGTTTTTAGTTTAAAAAAAAATAGATGGGTCGAAGCGAATCGTAGCAAGTAATTCGCAAATATTACGAAAAATATTCGAAGTTCCGAATACTCGAAAATTTACAAATCGAAGCAAATAGCAAAATCAACTATTCGGTCGAGGCGAAGCAAATCACAAATATCACAAATTTTCCGAATATTCGCTTCGTGCCCAGGGCTAATTGCCAGCTCTATAAACCAAAGTAGACAAAAAAAAAAAAAAACATGTTATAAAATGATTGTTTTTTATATGGGCTAGAAAGGATTAGGTGTCACATTACAAATGAAAATAAGTAAAAGCTAGCCCAACAAAATATAAAAGCCTATTAGTTCATTGGCATCGAACACTCTGATCAGTCCAGCAAGGATGTCTAGCACAGTTGCACCTAGATCTAATTGATCATCAAACTGTTTTGAACGCCAAATTAATGAACATATATGGTACAAAAATTCATGACAACAATGTGCTTTATTTTTTCTATCTTTAGCATATTAACACATGCATGGTTAAACACGCAAAATTTTAACCGATGAAAATTAGTTGGGGGAGTTTTATACATACAAATAAAATGCCAAAAATCTATGAATTGTAAGCACATAGTACTGAAGGCTCTTTCCAAATTCATCTATTGACATTTCACAACGCTCACCTAAGCAATTCACAAAGTGAAACTACGAGATTGTGATTAAAATGTGATAATTTTAAATCTTACGTATAAGAAAATGTATTTTAAGAAGGAGAAATTTTCTAATCAAACATCCCATTTGAAACCTCCTCCTCCATACTTTCTCAAAAAAAAAAAGTACCAATAATGTTAGGCGCCAACGGGTCGATATAATGTCATTTTCAGTGGGAATTGATTTTAAGAGCATGGCCACATGCAACTCTAATCATATCTTTAAGAGAGAAATAATGAAGAAAATAAAAATTGATGGGTCCAAGTTTCATGTGACTTGAGAAGAAGAAAAACCGCAAGAAGGATATGTCCTAGCCAAAAAAAAATGTATAAAAAAAAATGGTATGGCTGAATCAAACTTTATTGTAAAAAAGGGTTCACAAAAGATGTTGAGCTGACATAAATCCATGCACCATGTTTCCCTTTCCATCGGATTTTCGATTGCTCTCAGATCTTGTTCCCAAAAAAGAAAAGATACTCATTCCTTTTCTTAAGTTTGAGTGATTTTCATATTCAAATCCTCTATGTGATATCATAATAGAAATTAATTACCAAGTCAACCGAATCCAATCCACCTTGGTGTGGTTTCGGTTTGGTTCATTTTTTATTTTACATCTGACTGAAATAAATTATACATTTGTTGCTCGAATATATATTAACCAATCCATAATCTACTTAGCATAATTTTGGTTGGATATGGGTTTTTTTTTTTCCCTGTTGCCAACATTCTCAGTTTTGGTTAAAATCAAAATTAAGCATTTTTCCCCTATGAATCCCACGGGCCAAATTTTATTTATGTTCTTAATTATTAATGGCTTTCTAAAACCATACAAGCTTGCCATACAAAATTGAGATATTTTCTATTTAAATTCAAATATCTCACATCAAGTATGATAAGCTAGAGATATTTGGGCAATATATAAAACATATAACAACTTTCAGTTCGTCAACAAGATTTGAGATGGGTTAAACCAAAATACTGATATGATATAAGAGTTCATGATTGATCCAACATATGATTTTCTGCACTAAAATCAGTTTTCATCTATGTAATTTGTATAAGTGGCTCGTCTCATTGTAATATATTCAAGATGTTATGTTTAGATCGTTTCTATTAGATTTTTTTATCACCCACATTTCGAAAGGAGCTATATTAGAGTCCAAAATATTTTACATCGATTAGAATTAAAAAAAAAAATGAACAAAAGATGTGACAACCCTCGATTCTTTGAACAAGCTAATAATATCTGCATACATTGTTTCTACAACTGGTATATTTTCCATTCAAAGTTGATCAAATACATGCATCTATATAAATGGAGAAATTTACAAAACAGAAAGAAAATAATATATACATGTGTGGACTTGTGGTTATCTTCGGTTATCGTGGGTATGCCCTGACGGAATCATTTCTCGACATCAGAAACATACTGATCATACTTCAATAGAAATAAATAAATCAAAACACCTCCCTGACCGTGACCTAATATTCATGTCGCCATTATAGCTTTAATACGTTTCCAAATAAAAATAACAATACATGGCCACTGAGACAACGATGGAACCAACTCTAATACGCGCTAACTTTTTGTCAATGTCGATGAAGAAGAGTTTAAGTGGTTTTATTAACATGTACATATATTGTTTTTCTTACTAGCTAACGGTAAGATAGAGTTTAATTACGTCAAGATTATTCGATTGGGAAAATCAAAAGTTTTTTTGAATCAGTCTTTAAGGAAAAAAATGATTTTCTTGGTAACCTTATTATATCACTCACCTCACACATAAACTAAACATCGCTAACGAATATTAAGTGTTGAGAAAACAAAAGATGCTTCTGAACAAAATATATATTTTTTTTAATCGCGATTCATGGTTGAAGTATCCAAGGATATTTATCTATTAGTCTTTTTGTCCAAAAACAAAAATATATATATGTAATTAGAGACATGAAGAGGTACAGAGAATGTATAAACAATTATCTATATATATATAACCAAAACATTTATTTAAATTTGCTAGAAAAAAGATAAGAAAAATAATATAAGATCGTACTAGATTTCGTGTGGTACGCCCTAGCATCACAAAGCTACACAAGTTATCTTCATTTGGTGAATGCGAACAAAGACATCGAAACCCACTTATCGTCAAAAAGACAAAAAACTATTCAAAACCTAAAAATTCGGACGAGAAATTCGAAATACAAATTATAACCTGACAAAACATGCAAGTTGTCCAAAAAAAAAACAAATGAAAACCAAACAAAGAAAAAAATTGTGTAAATTCAGAGACAAATAGTCATATAGGTAATGTCAGAAAGCAGACAGAATCACAGAAGATTTGTACATTGAAATCAAGCACCGCAAAGAAAGCACTATTATTGTTCACACACATGTGTACAGAGACACACACACACGTACATGTTTGTTCACACGTGCACACTTACATAGACATCTCTCCACCTCTATATAAAGAAATGCCTCAACATGATCAGTGTATATGTAAGTGAGTAGTGAAGGCTTAGCTAGGTAATTCTTAATGGCAACTTCAGGGTTTAAGCATTTGGTGGTTGTCAAGTTTAAGGAAGATACAAAGGTTGATGAGATCTTGAAGGGCTTGGAGAATCTTGTCTCTCAGATCGATACTGTCAAGTCCTTTGAATGGTTCGTAACTCTTAACTTGTTTTGCTTTTGCTCAATAATTTTTTGGATTTGTTTTACTAATGACCGTACGATTTGATTATATATAATATATAGGGGTGAAGATAAAGAGAGTCACGAGATGCTTAGACAAGGATTCACACACGCATTCTCTATGAACTTTGAGAACAAAGATGGTTACGTTGCATTCACTAGCCATCCTCTTCATGTAGAATTCTCAGCCGCTTTCACCGCCGTCATCGACAAGATCGTGGTCTTGGATTTCCCGGTGGCCGCCGTCAAATCTTCCGTTGCTGTGTAAAAGACCTTGATAATCTTGTGATATGATCATGTCGAACTTTGTTTCCTTAATGTAAACGAGGGTTGATTATGTATAACTCGGTTGGTTTAAAGTATGTTTTTTTTTTTTTTGATTTGTTTGTTTTCGATTTGCGATGGTAAAAGAATCTTTGTTTTGTTGGAAACTTGCAAGTTTATGATATTTCTTCAATAAGTGCGTAATTATTAAGTAGAAATTTTTTTTAATATAATGTCTTTCATGTGACTATGTGAGTAATAATCTATTTTTAATAATTACAAAATACAAAACTTACATCACAAAATTTTCTAAATCCTTTAAAAATCCACTCTCATTTTGTTATTTTAAAAATATACTTTTTTATATTTCTATTAAAATACACACAAGAATTCAAAGATACTACATCTGTTTCTAAAAGATAATTTTCTAGATTTTCCACATATATTAAAAAAATATCTAAAAGTTGATGATAATTTTATTATTTTTGTGATTTATAGTTTTTTAACAGTTTAAACCAATAATATTTAGTTATTTACTTTAAAATCTGCAAATTTTAATTAATAATATATTAAGAACTTAAACAATTATCTTTTCAAAACAAATTTTATCTTGGGAGTATTTTTTTTTTTTTTTGGGTCAAATCTTGGGAGTATAAAACTGTGTATGTGTATGTGTATGTGTATGTGTATGTGTATGTGTATGTAGATGTACTGTACAGTCGTAACTCGTAACCACGAGGGAAATTATCAACAATTAAAATATAAGGTTAAAACGATGGAGTAACTGGGCCTTTTTGGCCCAATTGGCATAAACCCTAATAATAGCACTCTCTCATCGTTGTTTTTTGAGAAATGGTCACGTTATCTTTAGTCTCCGTCTCTTCACGTCACACACAACACCTGAAACCCCATAATAATGGTGATTTGATTTCACTTCGCTGCTACTAAAAATCCAGATTCGAGATTGTCTCTGCAAAAATCTTCGGCTCAATTATGATGAAGGAAAGGAAAACGAAACGAAGATGCGTAAAAAGATCTGGTGGTGCAGTTTTCTCAAGTGCAAGAGAGGATTTGATAAGCACATTACCCGACGCTTTGATATCTCAGATACTCTTGTATCTCCCGACAAAGGAGGCTGTTAGGACTAGTGTTTTGTCCAGTAGGTGGAAAAGTGTCTGGCTTTTGATTCCCAAATTGGATTTGGACTCTAAACAGTTCCCAGATCACAATGCCTTTATGGGTTTTATGGAAAAGTTCATAGATATCTCTAGGGAACACAAGTCATGCTTGCACAAGCTCAAGCTAAGGGTTCATCAAAATGGGAGTGATCAGTCTTGTGTCACGCCCTGGATAGACTTTGTGGCAAGGCGTAAACTTAAGCATCTTGATGTTGAGTGTCTTTCTGTGAAGCGTGATCAGTATCTTGAAGTGATACCCTTAAGTCTTTATATATGTGATACACTTGTTTACCTAAGAATTCATGGCGTATCCTTTGGTTTGTTTGAGTCTATTTCATTACCTCGTCTCAAAACTATGTGCTTGGAACAAAATGCATATGCCAGTGAGAAGGTTCTGGAGTCGCTTATCTCATCTTGCCCTGTTCTTGAAGATTTGACCATTGTTAGAAGGACACATGATAATGTGAAAGTTTTACGGGTTCACTCTCAGACACTAACTTGTCTCAGTGTAGGCTTTGATAGTGGTGAGAGTGATGAGGCAATGCATAGCTATTCCAAAGGAGAAACAAGGCTTTGGATTGATGCCCCTAGGCTCAAGTATCTGTATCTCGAAAATGAAGTATCGAAGAGTAAAGTCATAAGCAATACGGGTTCCTTAGTTAAGGTCAGTTTTGTTGACTCATGTTCGTATCCTTCTGATGAGTTCGCCGTATCAAAGCAACAAATTGTTCGTGACTTCTTCACTGCTATATCGAGAGTTAAGGATGTGACCTTCTCTAAAAGTATAATGAAGGTATGTGTCTACTATATATTTATCTACATCATGCTGTTTCACGACACTTAGCTCACCCATAGACTTCTCTTAATTTGTTTTTTATGCAAAGCAGTTAATCTGGGCCTACTTGCAAGTACAACCATTGCCCTGGTTTTGCAACATGTCCTGTTTGGAAGCAGAGTTTTCTCGCTCCGATGTGAATATCCTGTCAACCTTTCTTGAAAGATGTCCAAATCTAACATCCATCGTCTTGGTGATAATTACTTGCACCAACCTAGAGTTGTGACATTAATAAGAAATTTGTTATCAAACTCATCTTTTTAACTTATTAATCTTATTTTATCTTGTAGGATTTAACTCATTGTACTACGTATCAGGATTCCATAAGTTTCTCGCGCTTGCCTCAGTGTTTGTTGTCATCCCTCGAGATTGTAGAGATAAAAAGCAGATTCACGGGGAGGAGTGTTGAAATTAAAGTGGCAAGGTACTTTGTAGAGAACTCGTTAGTTCTCAAGAAACTTGTTGTGCACTTGAGCGATTCCATGCAAAAACGAAGTTTGGTTCACTTAAGGGATCTCCTTGCATTGCCTAGGCCATCTAACTGTCAAATCGTATATGTAGTTGACAGTTAGAAAGACTTTTTAGTTTTAGGTGTGTCTATCTATGATCAGACCGAGACTATCGTTCCTACATATTAGACTTTGGATTTTTGATTTTGCTGGATTCTGTTTATGATGTATTGTATTTGTATATTACTCTGGAGTCTGGACACAGCTCTCAGATAATGTCATAGGATTACAAACTATAATTCATGCAAAATTTTGCTACAAATATCGTTACCGTAATTTTTATCGGGTTTAAGACAAGATTCTTCAGGTAAGTCTTGTGATGGGGATGCACCATCTTCCAAGATGAGCGGTGTAGTTTGTGCAACGGATTACTCCTCTTTTGCTAGGACCATCCGGGAAATCTATTACACTGATACTACCTGCGTCTAGGTGGAACAACCCGAGCCCTTCTTTAGTGAGGTTAAGGCATTGTGCTATGAGCGATATGTGAGATATTGGAGAACCAACCACCACCATGGTGTCTCCTGGGTTTGCCTCCTCGTCCGACAGTTCGTCTAAGAGTGATTCCCATGCTTTCTCGGATCTGTTCCATAGAGCTGACACTGCTTCTTCGTCTAACTGACTTAGCCAACCAGGTTGGATTGATGCAATCACATCGTTATCCTGCAGAATTGAGGGGTCAAAACGATCAAATCAGTCTTCACTTTACTTCTGCATCAGGATAAGTAATCTTGCCTGATTGGATTTGTGAAGAACACCCTCAACATTGAGCTCATTCATTTGTTTCGTTTTCACGTAGCGAGGCACACTATCTACACCCAAACAACCCGCAGCTTCTTGTACCTATCAACTTTTCAAACTGTTAAATAGAAATGAAACAAGATTTCGAAGAAACAGATTTCTTCTAGTCTTCAGTTTGTTAAGAAAAATGAAGCTAGGTAGATAGCGATTTTATATAACTTACCCGGGATATTGCTGCAGCAGTCTCAATGGAGGCTGTTTCAGGGCTGCAAACTATTGAACTAACCCTCAGATCAAGAAGAAGCTCCGCGATTTTCTGTGACTGCAATAATCAACAACAAGTAAGCATTTTTGAGGAGTAACTAAATGCAGGATTTAAGAACAATTTTACAGTTGTTATCTTACAATTGTCCTTCAAAAAATTCATGTGTATGTTACCTGTATCACACCAAGCATCTTCATTGGTTGATCATTAGTGGCTGCTTGGTTAGTAACTGCAGAGACCTGAATGTTGAAAAACGAAGAAAATTCGATAAAATTTGACATAAACTGTCCTAACTTTTCTTATCTCAGAAAATTAGTGTAAATAGCGATACACCTTCCACACGCATTCATGGAGTTAATTCTAAAGTTGAACTAAGAGATCCATTAAGCAACGTAACTCATACAACTATACCTCATTATTCCCCTGACCATGGCAGACAAGTATGATCTGCTTACTAGCTGTCCGGCCACCAGAACTTCCACCAGCTAGAGGCGAATTAGGTGTCTGCATTATTACTACAAAGACAGTAAGCAGAATTTTGACTACCTCTAACATTTTAAACCCAACTCCAGAATCTTACAGGACAACCAAAAAGGTACATATAACTAAGATAATTATGAATTATGAGTTAAAGTCAAAGCCAGACATATCTTTTATTAGAAAAAAGGGTTAGCTGCAATTCCGCAGTTTACCTGATTTAGTCGATTAAGACATACGTGAGGCGATCCACCGTCAGCTCTTGGTGTGAAGTCCAGTACGCTTACACCGCAATTGCTCTGCAACAAACTCCTAAAATATTCTGTTCCCAGACCTGTCATATCAACCAAAGACGGCAGACGTACAGAAAAAACTTAACAGAGAAATGAAAAATCGGCTAGCCGTTGAAAAAAAAGAAAAAGAAGAGTTACCAATCGCTGTTGCCACAAGAGCCTGATTAACAGCATTATGAGCAACAACAAGAACAGACTTGCTCTCGTGAGCAAGAATACCAGGCCAACAGCCTCTAGCACGTGACCATAACTCTCTTACTGGATAGTGGCCATCAATGCAGAAGTTTGCCGGATCTTCTTGCCATTCCTTAAACGCTTCACCAAACTTTTCTTTCCCTTCTTTCTTAAGTAGACCCTAGTATATAACGATCAACTAGAACAAGAGTTAAGAACCTATATGTGAAAACAATGACTAATCTATGAAAAACCAATATGTCCCCATCACATCACATTCACAGCTAAACTTACTTGAAAAGAGTAAAGATCAATTTCTCTGAGTTCGTAGTCGAAAATCATCTCACTTTCTCGACTTCCCCATATGATCTCAGCTGTTTTCTTTGATCTCTTCAATGGACTGAACACACAATGTATAACAAATTTAGCAAATTTACAACAAGGCTTTAACAACAAAAATCTCCATTACAAAGAACAAGAACGCATATATAGTATAATCAGCTAGTATCAACACGAAAAATGTAGTGAATACTGAATCATCTAAACTTTACGAATTTAATCGATTCAATCTATAAATTCCAAAATCCAAGTTACTAGATTTCAAAACCGATTTAATAGACCCTAGGAAATGGCAATACCTGGTGAAGCAGACATCGAAGGAGTCGCCGGCGAGCATCTGACGAGAAATATCGGCCTGAGTCTCGCCTTTCTTCGTCAAAACGGAGAAATCAGAGCTTCCTTGAATCCTCCCTTCTTCATTCCACGTGCTCTGTCCATGTCTCACGAGAACCACTCGCTTCGGCGTCTTCGCGGTGTCTTGATCTTGTAGGCTCAATGATGATCGAATCCAGAAGCGGCGGCGAGTCAAATTTGGCCGGCGGGTTTGGTGGAGGAGACTCCGATTGGGTGAAATCGGACTAGTGAGTGGTAGAGAAATCATTTTATTTAATTTTCTCTTTTTATTTTTTTTAGTTTCGAGAAATTAGAATTGAGTTTTTTCAGTTGATATTGATATCTTTATTTAGCGGGAAGTTCGATTTTTTTTATCAGGCTTCTCTGTCGTATTTGGGCCGTTCAGGTCCGGCCCAATAGTCCCATTTGTTTTTTAATCAAGCTTCTTTGAAAATCTTAAGGTTAAATTTGACCTTAAGGTTAAATTTGAGAGAACAATATCCCTACAAGTTTTTATGTAAATTACCAAAATAAAATTAAAATTATTATCAAATGGTTTAAGAAATTCACATGGAATTTTGATAAATAATATGCTGTTTAATCATATAGTACCCAATCATATTTAATATGAAGAAAAAAAAATCCACAGTTTTGCATGAATTCGAAATATATTTCTTTCAGGACGGGTAATTTCCTTTCTATATGATTTTTCTCGGGAATTATTCCTAAATATGTTTCACAATTTGAAAATGTAGCAAATAAACCCTAATAACTAACAATTAAAAATAAAAAATGTATATAAAAATAAACAATGAATAAAACTTTTTAAAGAACGACCGAGAAACCTCAATTGCATCAAGATTTAAATCTAACTCATGAACACTTGTTAATGATTCAGGTTTTTTTTTGCTGTAATGTTTTTGTAAGATTAGTTTTATATAAATTTTTAGGTTAGATCCCTTTTTCGTGAAGTTTAAACGGTTATTTAGCAAACGCAAATTACTTTAATTTATTAATGTTGCCAAATTTTTGATAGTTTTCTGAATAAACAAAAAAAAATGATTGGTCACTGTTTGCATTGATCAACATCCAAATAAGCAACTAAATGTGTGGTCTATGGAAATGAACAGGTCTGTTATCAACTTAATTAGTACTAACTAAGTTTGTCATTTCTGGTGAGTACAAAGGAAACGAAAACATCCTTTGGCCAACCAAAAAAATACAACATTTTTCATGTTAGTAGCAATAATGGTACGTACGTCGACAATTTTACCGTTCCACATAATACAAAACAAATCTTGTAGTTGTAGTTGTATATACCATCGGAGATACTCGGGTAAAGGTCAAAAGAGAGCTAGAACCAAAACGAAACAATTGAAAATAGTAAGGTTCACGTGCCGTATATATTAGTGGGTACTTTGGTTACTTTATTCACTATGCAAAGACGTAGAACCTTCAGTATATACTAACGTGAACATGTAACACGTGCATCTTCTAAGTAAATATGAAGTCAATTTTGTCAACAAAGACAAAGAAAGTCAAAAGTACTAATTAATACTTATATGATAATTCTTTTCACTGGTTTGGTCTTGGTTTGATTTGTTTACTACGTTTGGAAAAAATTCTTACCAGTTTAAGTAATTAACTATGACTCTTTTTTTTTCTTTGTTTGAAAAAGCTTTTCAGATGTTTGTTTTCTTACTTTGGTTCTCTCTGGTTTGCTACGTGGTGATTTTTTTTTTGTTTTTTGGTTAAAAGGCTTGTGGTGAAGAAAAATGTTAACCGCAGATGACTTTGAAGAAAAAATGTCAGAAAAATGAAAAACTCTTTTCAAAGTAAAATGTCAAAAGAACGAATGGGTTGTTTGGTTTGAAACCAACGTCAACCTTAAACCTAATGGTATGCGAAAGGCAATAGTGAAAATTTGAAATCAAAGCTACCTTAGTTCTTCCATTTTGGAGATTAATAAATGAAACTTTTATAATATATATTTCGTGAAACTGAAATTTTCTTATCAATTGATAAGTTAGCTAGAGTCTAACCAACTCTGTGTTTTGTTCACTCAGGTCATCGTGTTATGTTAACGTTAGGAAAATAAATTGTACGTAAAGGTTTGAGAACCACTAGATCTGATTAGTGACAACAAACATAATTCTCTCTTTTTGTGCCAACTTTTAGTTATATATGTGTTTTGTTCGCAAACTAATACTTACCATTTTGCTAATTAATTTCAGTATTTGGTGGGATTTAGAAAGAGGTTTAAGTCGTCCTATTAGGACTGTAAATAAAAAACAAGAGAGTCGCCAATCATATTTGAAATTACAAAGTTAAAAATTAACAGACTTCATTTAAACGCTAAAATCAAGAGTCAAGAGAGATGAAAAGAAATGTAGAAAGAATCAATTCAACAAGCTTAGGTACATACAAATGTTAGATAGTCCCACTTGGGATTTCACCAACTTTGCCATATTA